ATATAATATATATATATATATGCTTCTACGTCTCTATGAAATATAACTATTACTTAGTATAGTAACACTAAGGAGACAAATATATCTGTGTCTCTTTTCTTGCTTTTCTTTCTTTCTTTCCTTAACTGCTATAATGAGTATTATTATATTAATACAAGGCTACGGAAGAAGAGATGTAAATAGGTAGACTAAACCTTCTTAATATTTTATTATATATAATATGTTATATATAGATATAGATAAGATGAACAAAGAAAAGAAATAAACCAAAGAAATAAATAGACAGAGGAAGAAGCACAAGGTTTCTTGTCTCTATAAAAGAAGAAAGGGTGTAGTATACATACATATACAGCTGAATGTGCCGCAAGTTAATTGTATTTATATTTATATAAAATAACAATTAACAATTATAATAAACGGCATAACAATTTCTTCCTTGAAGAAAAGTTCAAAATTGCTGCATAGAAAACAACACCTCCTTAGTTTGCATGCAATACAATAATAATTAATAAAGGGATTCTCTCTTCTCTCTTCAGGCCAAAATTATCATCGTAATCAAAAACAGAAGAGAGCTATCCATCACTTTTATTTATATATTTATTTGTTTCATTAGGCTTAGCCTCTGCATTTATATTTACTTCCTCTGTCACATAAACACAACGAGCAATTCTACTCGTTATGCCCTTTCTTTAGGTGCTCTTACACACACCTCACAACTCACTACTTCAGGTGAATAATAATGATAATAATAAATAATTTAATAATAATAATAATAATAATAATAATAATAATAATAATCGTAATAATATATGTACACCTCCCAACTCAAGAACTTTCTTCATGTACATATCGCTCCCCATTACTTCACAAATGTACAAATACACCATAATATTTCAGGTGTACATGGACCTCTTTAGCCTATTTATCCCCTTCTTCTACATTAGATGATCGCCATTTGTTGCAATCTTCCTCATCTTCCAATATGCGTTTCCTTGCATTTACTCTGCAGTGGCTATTTAAAAGTTCCCTTTTAAAGCAGAAAGAGACAATCATTCACTGGCAATATATAAAGTTATCTACTTCTTTACTGTTACAATCTCTTTCTCCTCCCTTTCTTCGTTTGCCAATTCTTATCGTATCGCCATCTGCTCTCAGCAAATGCATGCATATAATCGTCAATCAGTATAGACAAATCCCTGCTCCCTATAGAACACCTATTTACCTGCACTTGCAAGCCATGAATGCATGCATGCAAGAGTGCATCCATGCATTCATGGCTTGCATGTGTATATATGCATGCATGCATGTTATGTATTATGTATGTACAGGCAATCATACGATATTGAATAAACACAATGAGGTAGCGGGTAAAGGAGAGAAGGAAGACTAATATATTTTAAGCAGAAGGGGCAGGCAGCACCACACCACCAAGTCCCCTGATCTCGGCGATTTCATGTTGCAGACTAACACCAATTTTATGTGCATGCACGCATGCAGCAAAGAATTGTCCTGCAGTTTGTAAGCTTCTATGAAGGCGACTATATGTACGAGTAACAAGAAGGGGGTATACGACGGAGCCAATAATAGCTGCAGTGAGTTCCTTGTAGTATTCAAGGAGATATTCAAGGGAATCTAGAGAGTATCTAGCAAGACGAGAGAAAGGCATTAATACTCTTGCCATTTGTGCGGTGAAATTATGTCTTTTTGTTAATTCTTTACAGAAGAATTTACTGCTTTCCCGTACAAGTGATGAAAGTTGAAGGAGCCGACCACGAAGAACGTAATACACTCCAAGTGTATGTACAGCTTTCGTCTTGCGGGTTTCAATATCCGTTCCGTGTGATCCTCTGCCTGCCACAATTGGAATTCCACTTAAATAAAGCAATCTTTTGCTGCAAACATCAACATCAAGGACTGTGGATATAATATCATTCGTATAAATGCGGAGGTCATCAGCGAGATCCGGAGTAAAGAGCTGACCTGCCCAATCAAGAACCGTAAGGTAACTCCTTAACAACTCCTGCAAATGGAAAGAATCTAGTAAGTTTCCTGAAGCTTCAATATGCCAATATTCCAATACATCTTGAACTTTGCTGCTCCTAAAATGTGGTAATCCTAACGAATGCCACACAGCCTTAGCAGGATCAGCAGGTGCACTACGCCCTCCTCGACCTCCTCCTCCTAGATGGTGGAGATTTCCTACTCCTCCATCTCCTCCACCTGAACCAATATCTCCTCCTCTCCCTCCTCTTAAATCAGATGAAGAAGGACCTAAAGGAACGTGCGAAGATCCTGATCCTGGACGAACACCTCCTATACCCGTCGGAGATACTGCTGTTGATAAGCCACCGACTCGTCCCTTCTCCCCTCTCCATGTCAAAAAATCTAAACATAACATACACACATACACATACGTATACACCACTTACAACAAAACCAGTAGTAGTAGTAGTAGTAGTAGTAGTAGTAGTAGTAGTAGTAGTAGTAGTAGTAGTAGAAGAAGAAGAAGAAGAAGAAAAAGAAAAAGAAAAAGAAGTAGCAGTTATATAAGTCTAAAAGGAGCGAAACTGTCATCTCCACACATATGTACGGCGCAATTACTAACAAACGGAAATACATGCATGTAAGCTACATGCATTCATGTTATGTTGTATGCATACAAATGATCAGTTGTTTGTGCATGCATTGTACAATTGTTGCTGCACGCATAGTGCATGCAGCCATGACGCACCTTTGACTCGCCGCCCTATACGGCGGAAAAATCCTGGCTGTGTCTTAGAAGAAGCATCTGCTGCCTTAGCAAATGTAGGCAAGTACACAGAAGCATCAGATGCAGCAATAGCAACAGCAAAGAAGACAACGAAAAGGAGGAGGAATGTTCGAACATGCAGCAGACGGCAACGCCGTCGGGGGGGTCGAGGCGTCAGGGAACAAGCCCCAAAAGAAGAGGAAGAAGCAAACATCAGCATGCACGTTTGCTGCTATATATGTGCTGCAGTGTCTCCCCTGAGCTCACACTTGCTGCTGCTCACTTGTGCAGCAGCAGAAGCAATCAGCTAACATGGGCCAACACCACAGAGGGAGTTATATGTCTGTTGCCTCCATAGAGTGCTGTTGGTTAATCTAAAATTAAAATGCTGCTGCATTTGTTGCCGTTGCTTCTGCTGTTGATTCTGCTGCTGCAACCCATGCTCCTGCGCCGCTGCTCGTTGTGCACTGTGGCTACGGATGTTACTGTGGCTGATCGCCTTCCAGCTACAACTGCTTGTCGTTGTTGATAATGTTCACGTTGCTGCTGCAGATCCAGCTGCTGTTTCTGCTGTAGATAATGCTACTCCTGTTGGTGTTGCTGTTGCTACTGTAATTGCAGGACTGGTTGGCCAAAATGTCCAGACGGTCCTGCAGTAGTCAAACTCAGGGACCCACAAAGCGGGATAGTCACAACGTCTGAGCCGCCTTTATGGTCCGATGATGAATGGAAGACCAGAAAAATGTGGAGAGGAAGGGACGGTAGAAGAGGAGTGAAAATGAACTGCTGAGACGGGCGGGCGCTCACCTGCAAGGAGATCGAGGTGGACCACTGTCGCTGAGTCAGCCGCTTTTCAGGGAATATAACTCGCAATATTAGAGAAACAGAGGTATAGTGTCTGAAATTCACGTACAGGAACTTAAGAAGCAACACCACGGACGTCTACAGCTGCATGTAAAAAGCGGCTGCCGTAAGGAACTGCCCCCACGAGGAGTGGGAAGAAAGTCGGTTTCTTCTCCTCCAGGCTACGTTATATAAACGTTTCACCAATCCTCTAAAACATCGGGGTAAAAAGGAAAATTACATTAAAGCCAGGGATCGCCTCCTTAGCATCCCAGGGTGCCGCGCCCCTCCTCTGTACGTGGGTTGGGACATGCCTTGGACCTCGGTGTGGCTGTACAGCTCAATCAATGTTACGAAACCTCCTAGATATCGTACTTTTGCACCAAATTGCATCATAAATAACCTTTTAATACGGCTCCTTCCAGACTATACATACACCTCGTGGCAGCTCGCTACAGATCAGCGATTGAACGCGAGCAGCTAAGGGCAGCAAATGTTTAGATGCTCTACATTTTCCCTTCTTTTTATGTTCCAATCAATATGGCGTTACTCTGCATCCAACGTTCCAGATAATTTGCGACTTTGTAACCTGTCAACGTTTCTGTAGATGCTGATCCAGCTGTGTGTAGCGTAGAGGGGGCTGTAACATCTTGATCCGATCTAATCGGAGAGCGTTTGTGGCCTGCATTAGAGCCAGGATACATAATGTCGAAGTTCCTTACAATCAGATGACTTACCTACCGGTTCTCCTGGCCTCCTGAGAGCACCGGCTTGAACGTCTAGATGTGCGTGCATCTTACTGTAGCAATGAAGGCAACCCTGTTTGAATTAGCCACATGAATCCTTTCACGGCCCCACTTCACAAACGGTAAGGTACAAGAACTCTTCCATAGTTGCCTACATTGTTCATGCACGCAATCATAACGGCTTGTTTGTGTTTGTTTATGGAATTGCGGCAAGGAGCGTCGCAACACATGGCAAGCCACCTACTCTTCTGCATTTCCATCCGTTTGACTCACTGTGCTCCGGAAGCCTGACAACTGTGAAATGGGTAAGGAGGGTATTCGCAGTAAAGTATCTGTAATCTTATATTGGCTCCACTGCAGCTCACTGTTGTCCTTGGATAAGTTTCACAACCTCTTGCTACACTTCGTAGTGCCGCATGCTCCATGGGATACAGCTGCTAGCAACTAAACTCACCCAACAACAGGGATGTTCGCTACATAGCCATGCGTAGTACAGAAGTGCTCAACAGTATACACATAAACAGAAAATGTTCAACCTCTCCAACTACCTTTGTTCAATCTCAGACTTTGCCTGCACAACCAAGATTGATTAGAATGTGCCTTATGGTGGGGAGGGGACCATCCGTTTGGAATCCCGTTGATTTGAATCAAGCTCGATTTCTCCACCTCACCCAAAAGGAGATGTTATTTCAGGAAAATACAATTCATGAAGCATGCCTCCGCCTGTGCCAGCCATTCAGATATGATGATCGTCCAAATGCAGGAGCAGTGAAAGAGGTTTCTTGGCTCTATAGGTCTGTACTTTCCCCTCAAGCAAGCACCCGAAGGGTTACAGCTGCTATTGGCATCCTTGATAATAGAAGGAATGACACAACAATCGTTGCTGTATCTAGGCACAAGTTACATATTAAGATTGCTTCCAGGCCCACACCCCTCATTCTTACCAAGTGTTTTAAATGTGACGTCTTCGTCTCGATGCCGGACGAGTAGACCAGGCAACTCTACGACCTCTTAGTTTCCTCCCCGTTGCTCAGCCGGTTGCCGGTTGCCCTTCTCAAGTGAGCTGCACACCAATGAACCATTGATACAGAAGTTCCATGTCCACCGCTGGATTACTGTTAGAGCAGAGATTGACACTTCTTAGCGCTGCTTTCTATAGATAGCTTCGCTCTCTCCAGAGATGCCTGTTGCCGTGCTAAGCTACTCCTGACGCTACACTGCAGCCTACGCAGCATCCTCAACCTACAAGGAACTCCGGGAGAGCAGCATCACCTGTAAGGTACAGCCACCATTGTCGTGCCTTCCCTTACTCTAACAGCAATGCCAATAGCAACTGCAGCTCTGCGGCTGCCTGCGTGAGGGCAGACAAAACCTCTATAGAGGCAAGAAAATCCTTCACTTCTCCTGGATTCGGGAGACCGTCATATCTGGATGGCCAGAAAACGGGGTGGCACTCTTCATGAATGGGGCGTGCTACAGAATTACTTTTCGTTGTCTGCGGAGCACGAACTGCCCGTGCTTCACCTCTGTGGGACTTCGAAGTGTTGGTCGGATTCAATCCACCATTTTCCATTATGCGGTCTTATAAAAAGCTGAGATCGAACAAAGCTTCCAGAAGAGTTCTCAATTCTTTTCGTTGCATCTCCAGCCGTGGTCAGTGAGGTGGATAAAGCTGCCTTTCTAGTTGTACACGCCAGTCCACCGTGCATCCTGTAACCAGCATGTTAAGCGCATCTGAGGAACATTGTGAGCTGAAATTGAGCTACAGTACTTGAGGTAGGAACTTGGTAAACGGCAGCTGATCTGGCTGTCTCTTTTGAAGATTCCTTGGCTTTGCCACCCCAGCGCCTAGAGGTGAGGGAGCGGATTTGGCCCACTGGAAATCGTCTGGCACCTTACTGCAGCACATACAAGACAGCCCGCCGTTCAGGCGCGAGCGCGTAATCCCTTCCCCATCCACTAGCACTGTGAGCAATGCTGGGGAATTTTGCATATGTGCAAGTTTTCTGCCGGAAGTTATCTGGGAAGTTCAACTGAGTTCATCTGCCAGGTCTGGGACGGCTAGGTGACATGTGGCAGCATTGCACTGTAGGATATAGCCATCGCAGGATGCCTATCCTTCTAGCTTCTCCGATTAACATTTTTGAAATTCCATTTATTCTAAGCTTCGCTCTGTATAGCTGTCGGGGAACGTGTCTTTTCCACGCATTATATATCCAACTCGAAGGTGCCTGGACCGTTCATTAGACCTGTTCAACAGGCTTTCCATTCCACTAGCTACCTGACACTTGAAGCTAAGCCATTCCGTTCATGTAGTTTTTACCAGCCTTAGTTGAGCCGTTCTGCTTCCTTAGAAGATCGCGTGAGCCAGTGCACACTACCAACCAAGGGTGACGCCCACCGATAGCAGGATCTCATGCACGAAAGCATTTGCCGCATTTACGGCATTCCTAGCCGTGGAATAATTGTGAAAGCAAGGGAACATCAAGAATATCACATATTATGATGTTGCTAAGAAGCTCCGGAGACCAACTCGGTAAAACGAGCATTCACCAGAGCAGTCTCACCGAGACGCTGATGGAGTGACAGTGCCTCACGGGGACATTTGATTAAAATATATGTTAAACAGCTAGTGTTTTGGGCCTTTTCTGTTAAAAGCTAGCTGCTAAGTAATGGGAATTACCATTCAGGCCTGTCGAGATAACAGCCCACACTAGGCGCTGAGGAACTCGATTTAGCATTGAGACATTGTGTGACATCACCTCGACCACTGTGGGGATCGTGAGTCGACTTTTCTGTAGCACTGAAGTAAATTTTTCACAGTGACCTTGATTGTAACTCCGTTCTCCATTAGTTTGTTTTATTATCGGTCACAAATGCCAATCGTTTTGCCCCTTAATTGCGGGGAACTTTGACCGATTTTTTTTTTTTTTTTTTTTTTTTTTTG